GTCATTTATTGAGAAAGGTATATCCACGTTGCGGAAAGGTATATCACTTTCAATAATTGTTATTTACGGAACGTACGGATGTAATCTATTGAGAAAAGATTCACGCATCTAACAGATGTACAAATGTCGTTTATTGAGAAAGGATCTCATTGTAGTATATTGCAAGTTATCAAAAACCCTACTTTCTTGTAATGGCCCTTTTAGTTCCCATGAGGTGATTTTTCTCCTTTTTATCTCAGCTACAAGAATTACATTTTCATCATGCTATAGAGCTTTTAGAGGGTAGAGTTATTGAACTATTTGTTCTTTGTCTTTTAAAATGCAATTTTAGAATTTAGGCGTTACAAACAGCCTTTAGAGAATTTGAAAATCACCAAATAAAAATTTAATGCAATTTGGTACAGTTAGAGTAAAATGTGAATGATTATATATAGAAATTCTCTTTGTAAGGAAACCCCAATTATAAAGAACGAAAAATACCCACAAAGAAAATTAATTAAATTAAATAGTACATGCAATATATTGTTCCGTCAGTAACAAAAGCTCTTAGTTGAAATTAAGAGCAATTTAGGGGTATTTAAAGAATTTTGTTTTCTTTAAATACCTTTTGAAATTTGAAATTTGATTTTTGTCTGCATTTTGGCTAAATTAAAGTGAAATTTACTCTCTTATTGTATTGATGTGGGTGCGTAAGATTTGAAGACCCTAAACAGAAACTGATATTTTCATTTATCGATACTCTCAAGGCAAAAAGAAGAAAACAATCACAGCCCTTAACTTACAACATGGATTGATTAAACCATAGATCTTATTATTCTCATTGCATAATATTAAAAACATTACATTATAGAACTGAAATCATACAATAATTCATCTTAGATCCACCAATATGGAAGCATATAGCTAGCTATGAAGAACCCAAAACAAATGTCACTGGTGGATCGTTACATACATTATTCAGTTAATTTCTCATAATCTAGTGAGAAATTAATTTATTAGTACATTTATTCATATTAGTTATTCAAGGATAGAAATTGTTTGGCCATGGCTTGGTGACATCAAAAGGCATCCCAACATCACTTGATCCCGCCAAAAACTCAAACTCAGAAGGCAAACGAGTTTCAGTATCATCGCCACCCCCACTTAAATTCAGATCTCTGAAATTTGTCCCATAAAGCAGCCCCATCTGATCAGAATTTGGAATAATATTGCTTGAAGTACTAGCAAAATTATTATAATTAGATCTAAAATTTCCAAGAGGCAACCCCATCTGATTTGCAGCAAATATTGTTTGATTTGGAGTCCTTAGCCCTAGATTCATATTATTCTCACCATTATTCACCACTTCCATGAACCACTGATCCCACTGAGCAGGCTGCACAGGATTCCTCGCGTCCCCGGTGGCAGCGGTTCGAGGCATTTCATCCTCCGCCGCCGGTGGAGGAGGAGGAAGAGCAAGAGGAGGAGGAGAGGCTGCAGCTTCTTGAAGAGCATTGACTTGTTGAAAATAGTCAAGTCTCTTCTTGATTTCCTTCTTCTTTTCCTGCACGAACCAAAACAAACCATGCAATTCAATTACGTTGAATTCACTTTGTCTCTTACCGTAGTGAAAGAGTAGGTGCATGAGATGGGAAACATCCATCTCTTTGTTTCTTCTTTGGTGCTTCTTCAGTTGCTCCTCAACTTTTGTGGATCTTTCTTTGAAGTACCTTTCTTGATTCATCATCTTCTTGCCGCGCTCCATCTCCGGCAAGGTATGGAACCTAGCCAGAAGTTGGTGAATCACCGGACGAGATGGCCACATTGCAGGCTCCTTCTCGTCCGGACTGAAAATGACAGCGAAGGCATTCACACCACAGAGCGTGGTTAGTTCACTCACTTTCTTCATTAGGCCTCCCCTTCTTTTTTTAAGGCTGGCTTTTCTAGCACTATCACTCGCTATCCAAACAAGGTTCACCTTCTTCCTTGTCATTTTTGCTTTTGTGAGCTCTCTCTTTGTTGAAACCCTAAACAGGAAGTGCGTTTATATAGAGGGATAAATGATGTATAAACTTAATTTCTATTAATTTTGAGGGGCAGAAATGGAAAATAAAAATAGGAAATTTCAGACATTAATAGTGTAATTTGAACAGGTTAAAAAAATCTAATTGTCTAGATTCTAAAATAATAATGTATGGTATAGAATTTAATTTTATTGTTGGCTTTGGCAAGGCAATTCATTTAATATTTAATGCTTGTTTTTAAAACTTTATGTGGAGTTATTGAAGACAATTGTTTTTTTAAGGTTTAAATCTGTACAAAGTCTAACATTTTATCCTTCATAAATGAATTAGTAAGATACTTGAAAGTGAAACCAACAGAAGATCAATTAAATTTTTGTTTTGCAATGTGCTTTGATATCATTGTTGTATAGGGTAAACTAAAATTTTAGAAGTAATTTGATCAATAATTTTTGTATTCATGTTTCAGATAGCAACTAATGATCAAAGAAATATATATATTGATCGACCAATAATTTTTAATAACCATTTTCTCGATAACAATTTATATATGATCAACGAAATATATCGATCGGTGGATTGATCTATTTTTTAAGATAAAAACTTCTCTTTCAACTTGGGGCAGGATACGTTGCATTTATCTTTAGAAGATAAGATCAAATTAATAAAAAACTCTAAATACAATATTATGAACCTAATTAACTAAATATTGCATCTTAATTATGATGTTCTCACTTTGGATTCTCAAAATTAAGAGTGTACAGAAAATATAATCTGTAACGTATGCATGCCATAAATATACAATAATCTATTTTGGCATTATTAGTATCATGTACATAGTTGACGTCAGAACCCTGTTTATGCTTATCCATAAAGAATCCAATGACTAAAGGCATCCTTAAGATGACCTTATGTTTTCTTTTGACTATTTATTAAAGAATCCAAGGCAAAAACATTGTAATTAAGATAAACCCAATTTTAGTTAATTGGGTTCGTATTATTGTATAAGATTATTATAAAGTCTTATCTCAAGAAGAAAGATGTCACATATGCCACTCTATGATTGAAGATATGCTATTGTTTTGGACGAGATCGATCAATCCATCTTTGATAGATTGATCCATATATATAATTCTTAATTTGTACATAAATTGTTACCGAGAAAATAGGTATTAAAAGTGATTGGTCAAATTTTCACAAAAAATTTAGACTACCATGTCGTCCAACCGTTCTATTGAAATACATAATGAAAAATATACGAAGAATAAGAATTTTAAACATCTCAAGTTTTCTCTCTGATTTTCGATCTTCAATAATATACTACTCTTTGTGACATTAACATGTAATTAAATTAAAAATTAACATTAAATAGTATATCAGTTGAGACAAATTTTTTGAAATAAGACTAAAACATGTAGTATTACTCAATTTAAAAACTAATATTAATTGTCAATGAATTGTCCTACCAAAGCAACAACTTTAATCTTCCACTCAATCATTTTTAATCTCCATTTTTTTGATGAAAACAAATATATAAGATCAAAGGAAAACATTAATCAACAAGAGATCTCCTTAATGCAAGAATTTATCTTCACCATGGGGTGGTAATGTGACATTTTTTCCCGATAAATAATATTTTATTAACATAATTGACTAAATTCAAATTTATTTCATCTTGTAAACTGTAACAAACTTTAGCTCAAGAAGTTAAAGTTTTCATTTCCCATATATCAACACATTTTGCATTTTCTCTCCAACAAACTGCAAGTGGATCAAAATCAGTTGAACAAGTTGACAAGTTGCGACTGAAACTGTTATGCAAGTTGAAAAGTTGTAATCCATCTGTTATGCAAGTTGACATGTTGCATGTAAATCCATCCAATGGCTAGAGTAAAAGTTCTGTAATATAGATTGAGTAGCTGAGATGTTTGTGAGCAGGGATTGCTCCTATCTTCTTTTCTCTATAAATTGTGGACATAAGGATAGATGAAAGTAGTGAAAAATATAATGCTTCAGTCCTCTTTTTCAAAGCTATTCTTGCTCTCTGTTTTCTAAGTTTTTTGTTCTCTATTTTTTTTTTTTAGCTTTTATACATCCTAACTTTGTATCTAAGTAATGTGACTATTTATATGTTTGCACTACATTAATTATAGAAGAATTAAATACGGAAACAATTTTTCAGTAATCAATGCGGAGTTGACAAGTAAATTGTCACATCATTTAGGAACCTAACTTTATAATTGTAGCGCTATTGAAATCCATCATATATNACTTTGGATTCTCAAAATTAAGAGTGTACAGAAAATATAATCTGTAACGTATGCATGCCATAAATATACAATAATCTATTTTGGCATTATTAGTATCATGTACATAGTTGACGTCAGAACCCTGTTTATGCTTATCCATAAAGAATCCAATGACTAAAGGCATCCTTAAGATGACCTTATGTTTTCTTTTGACTATTTATTAAAGAATCCAAGGCAAAAACATTGTAATTAAGATAAACCCAATTTTAGTTAATTGGGTTCGTATTATTGTATAAGATTATTATAAAGTCTTATCTCAAGAAGAAAGATGTCACATATGCCACTCTATGATTGAAGATATGCTATTGTTTTGGACGAGATCGATCAATCCATCTTTGATAGATTGATCCATATATATAATTCTTAATTTGTACATAAATTGTTACCGAGAAAATAGGTATTAAAAGTGATTGGTCAAATTTTCACAAAAAATTTAGACTACCATGTCGTCCAACCGTTCTATTGAAATACATAATGAAAAATATACGAAGAATAAGAATTTTAAACATCTCAAGTTTTCTCTCTGATTTTCGATCTTCAATAATATACTACTCTTTGTGACATTAACATGTAATTAAATTAAAAATTAACATTAAATAGTATATCAGTTGAGACAAATTTTTTGAAATAAGACTAAAACATGTAGTATTACTCAATTTAAAAACTAATATTAATTGTCAATGAATTGTCCTACCAAAGCAACAACTTTAATCTTCCACTCAATCATTTTTAATCTCCATTTTTTTGATGAAAACAAATATATAAGATCAAAGGAAAACATTAATCAACAAGAGATCTCCTTAATGCAAGAATTTATCTTCACCATGGGGTGGTAATGTGACATTTTTTCCCGATAAATAATATTTTATTAACATAATTGACTAAATTCAAATTTATTTCATCTTGTAAACTGTAACAAACTTTAGCTCAAGAAGTTAAAGTTTTCATTTCCCATATATCAACACATTTTGCATTTTCTCTCCAACAAACTGCAAGTGGATCAAAATCAGTTGAACAAGTTGACAAGTTGCGACTGAAACTGTTATGCAAGTTGAAAAGTTGTAATCCATCTGTTATGCAAGTTGACATGTTGCATGTAAATCCATCCAATGGCTAGAGTAAAAGTTCTGTAATATAGATTGAGTAGCTGAGATGTTTGTGAGCAGGGATTGCTCCTATCTTCTTTTCTCTATAAATTGTGGACATAAGGATAGATGAAAGTAGTGAAAAATATAATGCTTCAGTCCTCTTTTTCAAAGCTATTCTTGCTCTCTGTTTTCTAAGTTTTTTGTTCTCTATTTTTTTTTTTTAGCTTTTATACATCCTAACTTTGTATCTAAGTAATGTGACTATTTATATGTTTGCACTACATTAATTATAGAAGAATTAAATACGGAAACAATTTTTCAGTAATCAATGCGGAGTTGACAAGTAAATTGTCACATCATTTAGGAACCTAACTTTATAATTGTAGCGCTATTGAAATCCATCATATATGTTATGGTGTCATTAGTATTATGTACATTAGTTGTTGTCATTATAAATCCTATATACACATATGCACGAAGAATCCAACCGCTACATTATAAATCTAGACTATCATAAACCACTCTAATGCTGACTATTAAGTTTATTTAAAATTAATTAATAAATGAAAGACCAACTTATAATAAATCATTAAACAATAGACAAAAATTAGATACAAAGTTTGACCAACATTAAAAAATCGAAAAAGTAACGGCAGTTTGTTATCAATTGATTTGCCGGAGGCATGAAAAACAAGATACATATGACTAAAATGAAAAAATAATAAAAATACTGGCAATTTGTTCTCCAATTTGTTGGTGACAAAACGGCATAATTTATAGTGGTAAATATAGATCGAGCAACAATTTGTTCAAAGGTGATTTTCTTTTTTCCTGAAATCACAATGAGAAACATAAATCAGGTGAATTACAAGTTCAAAGGTGTAAGAGTTAGCCCACTTATCGAATTTCGTGGTGATGAAAAGCACAACGGCAAAGGAAGTTCACCAGGAGATTCCGGTGGGATTTTGTCGAATTTACCAGTGAGATTTTGCATAGGAAGACGCAATATTTTGTCATCAACACAAATGGTTAAAATAGTTTGATATATTGACTTAATTGTTCTCTTAAAAATTTTTAATAATCGATGTAGTTTTTATTTTAAATAAACATAATAAAAGTCGAATTGTTGGTGATTTGTGGTATCAACTCAGCATTGTTACTATTGTGATAGTCTAAATTTTCTCTTAGTTTACACATATAGCATCATTCTTTAAAAAAAAAAAAAAATTAGTTCATTAAGTCATATATATTATTGTATTAGATTTTAATAAGATTTATCTCTAGAGAAAAAAATGTCAGATATCATTGTTGGCTTTGGTAAGACAATTCATTTAATATTTAAAGCTTGTTTTTAAAATTTTATGTGGAGTGATTGAAGACAATTGGTTTTTTAAGGTTTAAATCTGTACAAAGTCTCACATATTATCCTTCATTAATGAATTAGTAAGATACTTGAAAGTGCAACCAAGGTAAGATCAATTAATTTTATTTTTTTCCAATGTGATTTGATATCATTGTTGTATAGGGTAAACTAAAATTTTAGAAATAATATCAATAATTTTTTATAATTATTTTACAGATAGCAAC